AAAGCCCTTCTTGGTCCGGTTTTAACATTCTCTCGTGCTATAATCTTTTGATTATGCTCTTAATACATAAATAACTATTATTTCCATTACTTAAAATAATTGACGAAGAACATTGTTTTTCCCTAGTTGTTCTACAAACACCAACCTTTTAACTTATTTGCATTATACTTTCAGTTGTTTTGATGAAAATAAGCAATTAAATTCTATATATTTTGACTTCTCTAAGGCATTTGATAGAGTAAACCATAGCATTTTGTGATCTAGACTTTCTCCCGTTGACTTTTGTGATTCAATATTTTCATGGATTCGTTCCTATTTCACAAACAGAATTCAAATGGTAAAATATAAACACTTCATACGTAAACCAATATGTCACATCTGGTGTTCCTTAAGGTGTATATTTAGCTCCACTAGTATTCTTAATAATCTTACTAAACGATATCAAATCTGTGTTTAAATCGTCTAAAATATTATTGTTCGCGGATGATATAAAAATAAATAAAAAATCAATCAACCTGCAATTAGATATCAACGCTCTCAACTCAGATGGAACTTGGTCTCACTAAAACCTTTATTATAACTTTCCACCGCATGTAAATCCTAGTCAATTTACACATACAATAAATAATTGTGCACTTGAAAGAAAATTTAGCGTTACGCAGTAATATACTTGACTCTTGTTCGTTCATCTCTCGAATATTGTTCCCAAGTTTGGTCTCCCTATTACTCCTCTCTTATTCCTTTATTCATTTCTTCAGGTATAAGTTGAACCTGAATTCCTTTGCACACCATTCTTACCTTAAGCACTAATGCTTTGCTTTCTCGTCGTCAGTTTATAAACTTCAACGTAGACTTCAACAACGTCTGGATCTCAAATGCTCTAAATCTCCATAACTAGCAAAAAAAGCAATACGTTCAATATCTTACCTAACGCTCTTTTGAAACACAGGCAAATCGTAATGTTGTGCTTTCTAAAGCAATTGTAAAACCCAATTGTCTCAATTAATATGGTAATTGCAACTGTACTTGATAAAAAACAGATATCGCCTGAACTAAAGTAAAGATTTCATTTTGATGCAATTTAAAAATTAATTAACTACCAGTGGGCTAGTTGGCGGGGATTGCAGGTCAATAAATCACATGGGCTTTTATCATTTGGTGAGAATATTGAGACTGTTCCTTTTCGATTTACTATATTTCGCTTTAAAAACCCGAATGAAAGAATCAGTAATTCTTTAAGCAATATGAAGAGATGCTGTAGCAGTCACATTATGGCTATATTTAATTTTTCTGTCTGTCTGTAAGTCTGAATACAATAACTTGAAAAATCGGCCTTCCTTATTCGGAATTGGCCTAAACATTTAATAGTATATTATACAGGGTGCCCATTATGTATGGAATATCTCCGTAAATATCGAATGTATACAACATTTTTCTATGTGAAAGTTGTTTAACATTTTATTTTCCATAATAAGGCAGCATTCCGTTGTTTTTATTTCAGAAAACAAATGAATAACGAAAAACATTTGATTTTTTTAAATAGCAGGGCACCTTTTCATTAGGTTCATTTGATAGAGATTTTTTTTTCTTTTCTATGATATAACATGTTAACTCTGAGAAATTTCCCTTAAAAGTAGTTCAAAACTGTAGAAGTGGACAGACGGACGGACGGAGAAAACGCAAACAATAGAACATTTTGTTTAATTTTTAAAAGAATGCGGTAAACATTGGTTAAATATGCACCTAAATGTTCATCAATTTTTAGTAAATTTAGGCGACAATCCTTGAATTAAGCCTATATCCTCGATGTACCATTAGCACCCAGAGCAGAGTTCTCATGTTACATTTTAATTTTTCGTACCCAGAATTACATCAGGTGTTAATTGAAAATTTGATAATTAATTCTTACGATGTTAGTATCCCAAACTGAACACTCCTACTCTGCATCCAGAGTTTAAAAATCTGTTATTAAATATTAAACAACCCGTTTCCTTCTCCGCCTTGTGTTGGAACTAAACAATTCATTTGTAGGAAAACTACGCCCTAAACTCCGGTAACGTAATGTAACATCACCGCTTGCATTTTAACGATAACTAAGCTTGTTAAGGAGCAAGACAATGGCCCCATATATACATTATATCAATATATAACGAAGCCCATTTAGATAACGACCAAACTTTTTACATATACCCAGTCCCTTCTACAGATTTCTCGTTTCAAAATGAAATTGACACGTTTTGGGTCGCCTGTTTGCAGAGAATAATAGATTTATTCCCTCTCAGCTCGTGTATGCGTGCGGACCTGCACCAAATTTGATTAAAATTAAATTTCCTAATCCCAGCTGCAATAAATATTTTAATGATAACCTGGTGTAATATTACGTTACAAGTTCTCATTAAAAGTTTCGCGAAACTCCTTGTCGCAGGAGATTAATTCGTACTCATAATTCAAGGAAACAAAAGGATTTATTTGTTACGTTAAATTTCTAATTATAGTTCCTTAACTGTCTTCATTCGAAAATTACCTTCTCTCGCTATTTTAGTACCGTGAAAGTACATCGAATGCAGCAGAGTAATAGAGTTAAATAAGAAAGTTGTATGGGTATATTTTGAGAGATGCCTGTTCTAGTAAGTTCGCCAAGTTGGAAACCGCAAATATCTGTCTTGGATAATTGAGCAACAAATTTTCCCTGTAATACAAATAATCCTGAATATAAATTGTTGAGGTTGTAATTAAATTGGAAATAAGTTTGAAATTATGTTTGCATGTGTAATCTACGTGTAATTATTTAGTAAGTTTTACTTTGCAATGTTGCCGTTCGTTTTAGATCTGAAGTTTTCTCTATGTCATTTTGACCTTCTTTGAACACAGGATGGCACTTTGAAATTAGCGGACTCCATTTTAAGACAGCCAGCTAAAATATTTTTCCGATGTGTGCGTTACAATCGGGGACAACGGAACTGGGCTGGCGTATCGGTACAACTTTGGAAGACTTCTAAATAAGTTCTATGCATACGGAAACATTGCATTCCCACATAGCATTGCATATACCATGTACATTCCACGTGGGATATTGTATATCCATAGAATGTGCAAATGTATGTCGCAAATGTCCGACGTATGTGCAAAATCAAAATCCGCTTCGGTAATTCGGAAGGGGAATCACAATGACATCGTTGGCGACGCACCCCCTATGGGATATAAGTTTGGCAAACTTCACATAATACATAGTATATACGTTTTGGATGTCTTATCTATATGCATGTATATACATCAGACATGCTATGTATATTGGTATATTGACAACTGGATATACCATGAATATTCCGGTAATATGCAAAAGATGTTCAATAGGATATTCTATCTATGTTGTTTACATTCAGAATGGATCTTCTATAGAGATTCCTCTAACATTCGGGAAGTTTACTAGCATCTATACCTACACAAATAAATTCTTTTCACGGAGTGGAGCTTTTTGTTTATTAAGTCTCCTAGTATACAATGGAAAATGTGCTTAAGAAATTATTATTATTTTATTTAACACTGTAGTCTTGAGTCATTTTGATCGTGTTCTTGTTCAACACTATAATAGCGCGAGTTCATAACAAATAGGTTGCTAACATACCTGCCATTCTTGTCCTTATATTAATTTCCATTCAGTCTTTACATATCACTAACACATATTTGCAACTTTAGGTCATGCACACACGAAATAAAAATCATTACTTTCACTGTCCAAATTAGACAAACAAACTCATTAATAACTCGCGGAATAACACTCCCGATTTTTGAAAAATGAACTGTATTTGCATCGCCGTAATTCACAGAAAATGAGACCCTAACGTTTGTAACGTCGGTAATGCAGAAAACGCGTGTATCAAATCCAGAACGTATATACATAACATATAATCCCATGTATATACATAGCACATCCAAAATGTATATTTATAGAATATCCATAGTATATACATAAGATGTACAGGATATTCCCTGTACATTATGGATTTAAAATGTATATACATAAGATATCGAATGGTTGTGGGTTAACGGTAGGGTTAGTCAATTATTGGTTTTCATTCAGGAAACCTATTTCGTAGCATTTCAGCAATCAAAACTCTCAGGCAAAGTATGGGTATAGAGATGAGAGAACCCAAAAAAGGAGCAAATATAAAAATTAAATATCGTTTCATAAAATAATTGTGTTTGAAGGATCATATCGGTTTGTTATACGTGTATATATGCTCAAAGTAAAAGTGTTTACACATTTTTACCAAAATTTCAATACTTCAAGCGGCTTTTAATAAGTGAGCCAAATCATCTTCCCTTGTGCTCAATTAAAATGATAAATTCACATTGCGTATGCTTCAACAGCAATAAGTAGAGTATGACTAGTCTATTATATTGTGCTATTTTGACAAATAAATTAATATTCTGTAATAATTTGTGCGGGTTGTCTCAATAATAACTCAACTAAATGTACCTGTATCTTGCACTAAAACTCATAGCAGTAGTGTTACAGCAATAATCGTGTTTGTATCCCCAAGGGCATTTACCTCCATCAATTTATAACTTTTATTAGCTCCTTAAAGATTGCTTGGCAATTTCTATCGATTGAAAAGTTAGCGTAGGTGCCTCCCCGACACCTATACATTCTAACGCTTCGCTCAAAGTAATTCTCCAATTGGTGCATTCTTTTGCAGTGACTCGCTGAAATATTATTCATATAAATAGGGAAAAAAGGGATGAAGTGATAGATTGCGCGTCAGCATTTAAAAAAAACTGTTTCCCCAAAGAGATTAATCATTTTATTATTCGAATTTCGATCGATATTAGCTTTACATTAACGCAGAAAAGAATAACAAACCCTGTTAGTATTGACCTTTTTTACAAAAAGGAAATAACGTGACAAGTCACGCTGATATATATTGCCGATTGTCAATCTGTAATCCATTCCATTGTAAATTTCACGTCGATTTCTAATAATAAATGTATTGTTGCAGTGGTGTGCTACTTCAGGGTAAGCACCAGCTGGACGAGGCCATTCAAAGCTACCAGAGGGCGATACATTTCAGGCCATCCCTAGCACGTAAGTAATTAAAAATTGACTACTTACCACGCCCGGTTACATGAATTGTCTAACAAATGTTCAATCATATTCAATTTAGCTGTATCTGAACAATTTCATCCCTCTACTATAAGTTGTTGCCTTATTATCAAAGTCACTGTGCCTAGTTTGGGACTATCAATAGTTTTTAGAGAATTTTGGCTCAAGCTTAGAAGTCGAAAATTGAAAATCTTGAAATTCTGATTTGATCTGGATCCTATTTTCGGATTTACCAGAAATACTAGTAGGTATATCTCTAATTTGTTGCTACTTCATACTATTATTATTTTATTTTTTATTTCCTGTGCTTTCTATAAATTATTTTGACTCATTATTAATATGCCGCTTTGCGGTTCTGGTTTAGTCTTCTATTAACGTAAACCGTCAGCTTGGTACACCCGATTTTCATTACAGAAACCTGCATAATATCCTTTAGAACCCAAGTACAAAAAATTAAATGTTATTCCACTAATGGGGTCATCCCGCCTTCATTTTTTATTTCTGATCCACAAAGTACATTAAAAATAAAAAGACCCGTGTGTCCTCAATTTTTATTTGCGAGGAAAATAAACCCAAAATAAATTATTGAAAAGCTGTGTTTTTAGTCCGAATTTGAAACGCTTCAGACTAAATACGTCACAAACCTACAACCAATCACGTAGAAGTGAGCTGGCAACCTTCGCGAGGGTCTGACGTTTGTCACATTTGACGTTATGAGAGGGATGTTTAACTGCATCTAGCACGAAAGTGACAAGTGCCTGTGACAGATGACCCAAGTTATAAATGCCATTCTCCTGCAATATTGCCAAGTCGCTATGTCATCTGAATGGTTCTAGGAGCTGATTGGTCGGGCTTATTACGTCACAGAGCCCGCCACAATCATATCGTTTTGAATAAACCTTTAAAACCGCACATGTTCATTATTGTTTTGCTAATCAGCCTCTATTTTTAAATAAACTTTTACTGTCCAAAAAAATGTTTTATGGTTTCATTCAGGTACACGCTTATTAAATTAGAACTGCGGAATTCAACTATACTATAAACCCCCATTGGGGAACGTCGAATGTTGCGTCAAAAATAGTGGAAAATTTCCCGGTGTGCGTTTCTCCTTTAGTTTTCTTCTTCGAGCCATAAAGAGCAGACTTGAACTGATTCGAATAACCCCAGGAAGAATTAGCATAAATTGGCTCCTCTTCCATAGTATTTGTAACAATTAGAAGAAATATATCCCTAATTGCTTTTAAAATCTATTATCAGGTTAGGAACCTTATATCAGAACATCAGCATAGGTTTATTAATAAGCGATCCACGTTAAAAAACTTGTTAGCGTGTTTTGAGCATTTTTTTTTACAATCAAAAACAAATTACAAATAAATGATTCCCTTTTTTTTAATAAAATGAACCCACTGATAGGTATTGTAATTAACACGCGAATTTTAATAGTTTTTTTTTATAAACTAGGACCTTATGTGGTCGGTTTCTATTTATATTTATTCCAATCATCAAATTTGAAAACATGAGCAGTACATTCGTCTGAGAGAATGTTTTTAGACCCTTGGTATTTTTACACTTTAAACAATTTGTACTTTTGCGGGAAAAATTAGAAAAAATAAATACAAACTCATGCGAGCCGTTACAGGAACTTTGCAGCTATTACAATCCTTCTTACAATTTTTCTAGAATCTCATTGTCATATTTTTAGGATCTATAAAATCTTTAAAATCCTTTAGAGTGTTAGTGGAAGCCGTTTATCATCGTCTTGAAATAATCCTAGAGCCTAAATTCTTCATTACAATCTTCTTATAGAATCTCTCTCGCTGACAACAAATATGCCACAATCCTTAAGAGAAACTGAGCTATCGCTCAGGACGCCTCAACAAATGTACTAGCGAACTGCTGGATGGTGCGTATGGTAGTATGGTAGAATTCTCCTATTAATATTCGAAGAATCCTCCAGAATCACCTTACAGTTTTCGTCGAATCTTGTAAAAATCTCCAAATCTTTTACATATCTTCGTGGAATTCTTTAAAAATTGTGTTAAATGTCTATGGAATAGGTTACATTCAATATCGCTAAACTGCCATATTTTTGAATCTTTATTTAACCTTTCGAAACTATTTAAATCTTTTGAATCCTTCAGAATTTGAGCAGGTATCTTTTCTCAGAAACTCCTTGGGATTTTAATATGGGAAGACCTTCACAATTTTTAGATACCCTAGAGCCTAGGATGTTCAGAACTATAATTAGTCTTGATTGATTTCTGGATATTAATTCTTAAAATGTTCTTAAAAGTGTACTAGAATTTTCTTACGATACTCTTAGAATTTTCTTTTCCTTATTGTTTTTTTTAAGGTTATTCCAATCTCTTAAAGCTCTTATTACTCACTTTGCATTGGATTCATGTCATTTTCTAAGTTATCGACATTTAAGTGTCCTTCAATTTGTTAATTATTCTTGAAATTCTACAGGTTAATGTGGTAGCGAGGTCTCTCTTTGAAAATGCCCTATTACAAAAACAAATTAATTTTAACAAAGCTATTAGAAAATAACAAATTTCTGAATGTGTCTAAAATCAAGCGTTATCTTTACTTCGGCTTCGGAGCAGATTCTTTAGCCCTAAATAAAACTGCCTCCAACATGGAAGGATGCAACTGAAAAGCTCACAATAACGTTGAGCGATTTTTGAGCCAACTCAAAGTTCTCTCTCTACATTTACATCAGCATATTACCGAGATAGAATTTGACAAATTTAGTGCCCTTATTAAACGCTATCTTTCATTGAATGTTCTTTGTTTATTACACCACTTTCATTAAAGTTAAAAAAATTAATAGATAAAATCTAATTTTATAGCCATTTCTGATTTTATGCTTTTACTCACTATAGCGTGTTTTTTTTCCCGAAAACTGTTAATTTGATACTGTTGCAATTTGATTGCCGACTCAATCTGACACGTTATCAATAAATTCCGTGTGATAAATTTGAATAATAAACATATCAAAGTTTTAACGAAAAAATTGTAAACGTAAATGAATAACTAAATAGCGTGTTCTATCGTGTTAACTGCTTGTCGTGTGTTATCAGAATTTGTTTTCTATAGAAGAAGTAGTCGTCTTTCATTTAGTAAATGTTTATTATAACTACGCAGTCACGAAACCGTTGATTTATCGTTAATAATTACCTTTATTAAATTTACTAAGACCTCTTGAGAATAAAACCATCTTTTTTTTGGAACTGCATTAACTTTCGTAGAAGGCAATTCCCATTACGCCAAAATAAATTCCCACAGATATAATGTATTGCAAATGAAAGCAATCAAACTGCCAATTTAAATTTAAGGGTTGGACAAGCTATACGCACACATAAACGAAACTCCAACCCTAATATATTGCTCACACTCCCTTAGAAAAGTGAAACGCTGAGGATGGTAGATATACGGATCCGGTCATTATTAAAAATATATTTATAAATCATCTTGAGTCAGAAAGGCGGTATACTATATGCATACAGACCAATTCAAATGCATATTTTATTTATTTATGGGGAAAAATCAGCATATTACAACACCTACCGTCGGGATAACTGAGAAATTGTGGAGGTGTGCGTTTTTTAGCAGTAAATACAGTTTGGTACCTATCGGAAACTGAGTATATTTCACGAAAGGTAATGTGCAATTTAAATGTATCTAACGTTTCTAATAAAATCTACGCTCAACAGATATTTTTGAGTGGGACCACCCCCAACTTTTGGATAATTTTGTTGAATGGGTTATGAGTTATGACGTTTCACTTTTTCGCGTCGGTGTTAATAGTCAAATTGCGCCAATTCGTGTAGGTCTAGGTATTTTTGTCGTTTAGTTATTTCTTGACGTTTGATTTTCTTTAGAAATGTTTGTTTGTCGTTTTTTTCTACCTTTGAAATATTTATTAGCGGGGGTTCAGGTACTGCCATTTTTTCAACAGAGCGAATTCCGCTACAGGAATGTTAACCATTTCTGTTCCGTCGTCTTCTGAAAAAAACCTGTTTCTATGTAGCAAAAAAATCTGAACAAGATTTGACTTTTTGGGAGGATTAGTTTCATTGTGAATGGATTCAGTTTCTTGACCTTATACTCATTTATTAGTTTTTGTCGATTTTCCTTCGGGTGAGCCCAAGCCAAATGGATCAAACATTTTCCGCAATAAAGGCATTTCACCTGGGTCAAGGTCTGAGTCACTTAAGGCCAAAAATCGGGTCAACCTCGGAATGAGAGATGATAAGCTATAAACTTGTATACACCTTTATTTTGGCATTTTGAAAGTTGTCTGTCCTTGTGCACGATAACGTTGTTTAGAAACGTCCGATCGCTTTGAAAATGGGTACACATGTACAGCGTATAAGAAAAGTCGCTATTGTTTTTCAGCTACGTAGACCGAGGATCGTTCCGTATTCAGTTGTATCGGTTTTTTTTATATTAAGGTAATGGTAATGCCCCTAAAAGTACCTAAGTAAATATCCGAAATTAGTTGCCATAACTAATATTAAGTAAATACAACATCAAATGCCAATACACGCCACTTTCCATAGTTATATGTAATGGCACACTAATCCTATGACAAATACGGTCAATATCATGCAACGAAAAACCACTAAAATTCGTGTATTAATATTAAACAACGCGCAAAGTTCAGAACAATTCATTCGCATCGATCATCCCTCATACAAATAAAAAAATGAAATTTAGTTTTCCATTACACGGTTTCATTATATTCGTTTTGTTAAAAAAAGGGAAAATTATCAAAACTAGAATAATAATTGAAGGGATTTTAATTTAAAAATTTAACACTGGCAATCGGATCAAACGATTTTTTAAACATTATTTTAGTTGACTAATTAATTACAAACTAACGCAGTGCTCCCAAAATTTAAATAAAACGTGCATTATTCATTTTAATTTTAATCGCTCTCGATCGACCGATCTGTATGAATATATGCGAACATAAA